ATTGGAAGTTAATGTCTCAATGGAACAGCTCAGGGATCTGTCTTTGGCCCCATGTCATTTAACATTTTAAACAATGATTTGGATGAACACAGAGATGGCAAGCTTATCAGATACGCAGATGAAACAAAGTTGGGAGGGATCACTAACATAATGGATGACAAACTAAGCATCCAAAAAGATCCTGACAGGTTAGAAGGATGCGTATAATAAGATGAAATTTCATATAAATAAATGTAAAGTCTTATACTTGGGTTAAAAAAAATCATTTTCAACTTATATGAACTGAAGCAGAGGAAAATAAGCAGAACCAGTGTAATCTAGATAATGGCCACAAAAAAAAAAATAAGGAAAATAGCTCTGTAAGAGATACCATCAGAACTACAGTCTATGCTATTGCAGGGCCTGACTTCAGGGCACTAGACAGTACAAACGCAGCATGCCTCCCTCTTCTCAGGGGAGAGGTGGTAGACTACAGCTGCAAAATGAGGGAGACACCATTGGATATGGTCCAAATGCTGGCCTGGCTTAGCTGTACTTCCTCATAACAAAAGTGGACTGAAGGAAGATCACTGGGAAGCAACACTGACATAAAAAAGAAAAAGCATTAATAAAAACACTGGTTTAAAAAAATCAACCTCACTAGTACAACATGGGAGAGACATGGCTTGACAAGTTTGTGTGGGAAAAAAATGAGGGGTTTTAGTAGAGTGCCAATCCAGGATTGTGGCAGGACCAACAAAACAGTAACTACTACAAGGAATTCCATAATGTACAGACTCTGTAATCCTATACCACCTTCCAAAACATACATGAAAGGATATGCCTATGATTAAAGAATTTTTCAAATTGCAAATGCTAACCTAGCAAGCAAACCGACATTGTTTGCTAGAAACAAATCAAGTGAGAGATAAAGCAAAGGCCCTATTATTCCTCACCAATGAATAAACTTCAAGGCCAGTCCCCTTGGCAATAGAAAAGCTTGTCAGAGAAAAACTCCTTAGGATACTCTGCTTCTTTTCTGCTTACCTAGACTATTTATTTACAATTTCATTCTTTTGCCCTATACCCTTAAACTCCTAGGAAAATAGGTTCCTAAGAGTGTAATAAAGCTAAGTTCAGCTCAAGTCAAAGATTTTTATGGAACCTTAATTTTGCATCCTAAGAGGAGATGACAAGGATGAGTCTTCTGATCCTGAGCTTACTGCCCCAAAATCTCTGAGAATTAGAGAACTAAAACATCTCTAGTATGTATCAGAAATGGGACTTTTTTTTTTTGTATAAAAAGAGAATGCTTGTGAGCCACCTTGGGGGGAGCTACCATCTTCCTTCCTTCTCACTAGTCTGGAAGTGCTAACATATGAAGATGAAGATAACATGGGTGCTGGTACCTTCTGTCTACACTCACTAGCTAATTTCAAACCGCAGGCCTTTGTACTACCCAGAAAGCTGACATCTATATGATCATAGATGACTGATGTGAGCTATAAAAGCCAATTTGTTATCTTCTCATTTTCACTCAGGATATCCTTGAAACATGTGTAGATCACTGTCATAAAAAAATTTTTTTTGGAGGCAATCAGGGTTAAGTGACTTGTCCAAGGTCACAGATAATAAGTGTCTGAGGCTGGATTTGAATTCAGGTCCTCCTGACTCCAGGGCCGGGGCTCAATCCACTGAGCCACTTAGCTGTCCCTCTCATAAAAATTTTAAAGAGATAAGCAGGCATAGGGAGTTGGCAGTTGCTGATGTCCTCTTGATCAGCTCTTTTCATAGTAAAATACCATCTGTCATTATCCCTCTCCCATCATTTAATATCTCCTTCTTCTTAGATACCTTGAAAATTTCTCCCTCAATGCTTCTACAATCACTTCACCATCTGCTAGGCTATCTTCTGCATGTATCTGGCCTGGAGTGCCACTCTTCTTGACTTTAGTACCATTTCCAATTCCTCATATCAGGTACTGAATTGTTAAAGGCGGGGAGGGGCTTCACAATCACCAATGACAAGCCATTTCAATTTTCTTCGATTTGTTGTCCTTCCATTTCATTCACAAGTGTTCTTGGGGTCATATCATTTACTTGGGTTTCATGCCAAGCCTCCCACATATTTGTCTTCTCTACTGCTCATCACCTTCCACTGTTCTCCAGAGTCAGATTTTACAAGTGAATCTGTAGTCTAAACAGGTATTATCCTGGGCTGCCATGACTCTTCATCTGGCACAAAGAGCTAGTATATGCTGGCTGGGGTACCTCCTAAACCACTTTGATCTCCTCAGTGTGACTACTGTGTTTTTACGCCTTCTGTTAAACTTCTATAAGAAATGGTGAAAATCTACATCAATGTCTTCACTTTTATTCATTTGTCATTTTTCAACATCAATAGAGACCATTAAAGAGCTCAGGTTAGCACTGCCAGGACTACGTAACATCTTTCTTATCTTCATACTTTCTTCTCATTTGGTGTTGATTCTGATCTTTGGTCCGACTAGTCAATAGTCTGAATGTATACAACTGACTCAAAAATAATTGTCATCAGGAACCAGTTATTTCCCGTTAAGATATAATGAACTTAAATTTTTATGATGGTTGGAGCAGGCCATATCCAGTGGCTTCCCAATATCTTCTTGATATTCAGACATAAGGCTTCTCAAGAATCTATAAGCTTTGGTTTATTTCTTAATCCTGGATGATATTTCCCAACATATTTTTCTACCATCGTCCCCCCTGCACTTAGTTTTACATTGCATCCATTGAATATTTAGGTCTATATTAACGATGAGGAGATTCTCGACAAGTTCTTCATGGAGTTTCTTTACTTCTTCATCATCTGCACAGACAGCACATAAGCTGCAATCGTCTTCCCCGTAGGCTTTTTGTTTATGTTCATCATAGCACTGCAAGATCTGATGATCAAGTGTCCCATGAAGCAATGTTTCTTTGGGTGAACGATGAAGCTGACTCTACTAACTCCAGGGCGTCAGAACAGTTTTTACTGTCAAAGGACCTTAAGGTTCAGCTAAGTACAAAGAATCACAAGTAGAATAACCACTAAGTGAATTATTTGGCTACAGCAATACATGGGGATCGTGATCCCTGGCCCAAAGTGATCTCTCCCTTTTCTGATATTCACAGCACTCATCTGCACTACTAACTTCGGCACTGTTTATATAACAAAGCAATCTTATATTATTTCTCTTCATACATCTAATGTACAAAGATGCCATACATCTTTATGTCCTGTCTCAACTAAACTGTAAGGGCTTTCTCTCATACCTCTTTTTATCCACAGCACCTAGCGCAAGGTCTAACACATGGTAGACTCTCAAATATTTGTTGATGTTACATAAAAGATGATCTGTTTATTATGTATTTCTTCTCTTCCCTCAGAAAGCTTGCTTTTCATCCTTCAGGCTAGTACATCAAAGGGAATTGTATGATGCATTAAACATCCAACATTTTGTATTCGTAATTTAAGAGGAAGGAAGAAAAGATCAGAGATTACTTCACAGCAAGCAGAACTCCCTAGTATTGTTTACACTACATTTATAAACTAGAAAGCAACCCATAGATATATAGTTGTTGGTATGGAATATAGCTTCTGAGTGATGGGCAGCTCAACTATCACCATCCCTCCCTAAACTCTTTCATTATAATAGCTGCAAGGCTGATGAAAAATGAATGTGGCACACACTTAGACTACTGTACATTTTCTTCTATTGGGGTTAGGAAGGAAATTCTTAGGAAGTGACAATGAGGTAAAAAAAGAGCATCAATAAAATTTAATTTAGAAAGAAAATTACAGTTTTGCCTTTATGACAATGTATCTAACCAGCAGCTTTTTGACACATGGTCCTTGAGTTTAGCCCCAAAGGCCTCATCCCCCATCACCTTTAGAAACTTCCACTGGACAATACTTAAGAATGAATAGCACTGGGAGCACTGCCTCTTTTGGCCTGGAGCCCCGTGAGCTTGCAACATCCTCTAATGAACAAGAGTGGGAAGAGCTCAGCTTAAAGGACCTGGAAAATTATTCACAGCCTAATTACAGGCTCTGAGGTAAAAAGGATCTTCAAGGGTATCTAATCCCAACTGTACACGAAAGAGGAGCTCTCCTCTACAACACCCCTGACCAACATCCCCCCAGCCTTTGCTTGACAAGCTGCGGTCATGCAGAGCCCACTTCTTCTCCAGGCAGCTCTCTCTTCAGGACATCTATGAATGTTAAGAGGTTTGTCCTTGCATCGAGCCAAAGCCTGTCCCTTCCCCACTCCTTCTGGTTCCTCCACGAGCTTTATTTAACTTTGATGACCACAAGGGAGACGGCATTTGCAATTCAGGCAAACCAGAAAAGGAAAAGAAGTTCATTAAGTACCATGAAGCCGATGGAACACTATGTTAAACAGCACCTAGTCATCTACTCCTAGCAGGAACTCTATCCACAAAACCATACAACTACATCACCGTGCTTAGAGGCTGTGGAGAGAGGACCACACGGCCTGAGCTCTAATCTTAGCTCAGACATTTACTAACCATCTGATCTTTAGTCAATCCATTTCCTTCTCTAAGCTTGTTTCCTCATCTGTAAAATATGGTTAGCATCACCTACCTTGTTTATCTCACAGAGCTGCTGTTGGGATGAAATGAGATAATATAAACAAAAGTTACTATGGAAACTGTAAAGTGTTATACAACCATTACATGATAATTTCCCTTATCACCAACTTTACTGAATGCTAAGTCTGCACTGGTTAATAACCACAAAATGGCAATCTCCATTTACTGGCACTGAAAGCACTGTTTTCACTCCAATGTCATCAACAAAGCTACTTTCAAGACAATCTTGGGGGAAGTAATTTTTTAAAGTTCTACCCTGTGGGTAAAGATACGGTTAGATGTACTGACAAGCTTCAGCAAATTAAAATTAATCAGACCCACTAGCCTGAGCTACACTGGAATGAATAAAAAGAACCCAGAACCTTCCCCACCCCATTCCTGTTTACCTTGGTTAGATTCCAGAGGGTTTTTTAAGTGAGCAATAACATTCTTAAGATAAATTTGCTTCTTCTCTTCCAGTTCAATTTTCGAAAATATCTGAATCTTACTCCTTAAAACAAAGCATACCAAGAAAAAAAAAAAAACAAACAGTTCATGAGTTTCATCTTAACATATAGAAGAAGCCAGACAAGCTAGTAACTGGTTAGTACAACTAGCACTCAAAAGCAATGTTCTCTTTAGGATCTCATGCCAGAAGACAGTATTGATTTTAGCAGCATGCTATGAATTTCTTGACACTGGAATTTAAAATAAAACAGAGGTACTTGAACAATTTGGTCTCTTTTCACCAGGACTAACAAAAGAAAGGAGGAACATTCAAGTTCTAGGAAAAAGAGTTTCACATCCACTGAATGATTCGATGATAGTTTAGAAACCTCAGGGGACTTCATCAAAATGAGATTTAAAATTGGAAAACAACCCAAGTTCCCTAAGAACATGAATGGTTGAGTTATAAGAAAAACATCTCTTCATGCATATAAAGTGATAGGTTATCAAATTACTTTTAAACTAGGTAAGGCAGAGCAACGTAATTATTGCTAACCCCTTCTTCCTGACCAAAAAACTAACCAACCCAAAAGCTTTTGACCTCTTCCCTAAAAAATGTTCAAACTCTCAAAGTGAATGCTTGGCACGTGATCTTGCTATGCTGACAGAACCAAATCACAAGCTTATACCAACACTGAAAAGGTTAACACACAAAGAAATTGCTTTGAGCCTTTATAGTTAGAAGTCAAGATGACAGTACATCCCAACACCTCTCTTGTGTCTTGAAAATAATTGTGCTAATACTGCCATCTCCTGGAAAAGGAGGATATGGACTGGAAAAGGCCCCTAAGTCTCTAAGGCTTTACAGATAAAAGGTACCTTAAAGATTTTCCAACCTAACTATTTTAAAGTAGAAGCGGCAATATGGTATGGTAGAAGGAATGCTGAATTTAGAGTCAGGAGAGACCAGGGCTCAAATTCAGCCTCTGACACTTATCAGTTGGGTGACTGGCAGAGTGACTTTCACATCTCTGAGACTCAATTTTCTCATCTATAAAATGAGAATGATAATAGTCCTTGCTTCACAGACTTGTGAGGATCAAATGAGGTAACAAAGGTAAAGTGTTTTGCAAAACTTAAAGCATTCAAATGTCAGCTACTATGATTGTGAGGAAATGGGGGTCTAGAGAAGATAAAATGACTTGCCCTGTGTCACACAAAGAGCAAGGCAAAATCTGAACCCTGGTCTTCTGACTCCCAGTCCAGTGTCTTTTCCACTCCTGGGACTTTTGCCAAAGCCTCATCCAGTTCTAATAGGGTTAGACTGGCCTCTGCACATTTCTATGTGAGGAGAGCGAATTTTTTTTTACATTCCACTCTCCCAACTAAACTAGTTATCACTTCTTTTATATTCCATATACTTTATATATATGTGTGTGTGTATGTGTAAATATATATATATATACACATACACATATGCATATATACATATACTATATGCTATATATTCTATATATATAGTTATATACTATTCAAACCACCTACTGTGACCAGATTTCCCCCCAAACTGTAAGGGGAACAAGAAATAGTAGACAGCAGGGCAGGGCAAGGTGCCAGGAATAGAAGAGGGGGCCTCTAGGCACCACAGACAATAGATTAGAGTTTGTTACATTACCTTGCTTTGGCTTGTAGACATGGCATGACTTTACCTAATCTTCTCTCACACCCTTCCCTCTTCTCAGAATTTGTGTCTAGTCTGACCGGCTTTCATTAAAATAAAAATACAGAAAGGAGGAAAATGTCAAATTAGATCTCAGTAAAAGCAAAATCAAACGACAGCAATGATAACAAAAACCTTTTGGCAATAAAATCCTAGATACTGGCAAGGGCTAAAGAATCATTGTTACTAATCTCTGTCTATGAGGATTTGTAATTCATTCCCAAATCAGGCCTAATATGGAGAACAAGGTCAAGACAAGCTAAAAGCCCAAAGAAAAGGGAAACACAGGGATCAATTTCCCCAATATGCAAAGAAATCCAAGACTGTGCTTACTTTGGTCAACTGAACAGCTGGAAACCTAGATGTGTCACCTAACCTGTGTCCTCCATTCCCTGAAGACAGTGCCACCTCTGGTCTACGAGGCTGTTCCATGGTAGGAGAAACCAGGGGTACAGACTCCTCACAACAAGGATCACCTGCTCTAGGAACCCCCTGCTGAGGGCCAGCTTTACAGGGCTGGGGTCCATTCCAGACAGAATAAGTGGAACTGATTTCTTTAGTGCAAAGTCTGCCATCGTCCTGGCCAGGGTCTTCTTTACTCACATCCTCCTCCAGGAAGGAGGGAGTTCCCAAACAGTTTGCATTAGTGGATCCATCTTTGGAAGAAAACTCAGTCTTCTTTGGACCAAGCACATCATCACAAACCGTTGTATTAAAGGGTGGGACAACAGTTATTTTCAAGAGATTTTTTTCTGATACCAAGTGTCTGCTAGGTGACTGGGTTAGAGTGGGTACGTGACTAGCTGGGGTATTTCTCTGAGGTAGTTTATAGACGCTAGCTGGCCCAGCCCTGGGTCCCAAACTGCAGAGTACATTTATATCTTGGGGACAGCCAAACGAAGCGCAACTATAGCTGCCCAACTTCTCAGTTTCACCACCTGCATTTTTTGGTAATCCTCCCAGAGGCTGTTCATTCAGTGAGTCATCATCCTTCAAGAGTTCCTCAATCTCTTCTTCTGTGTAACTGAAGTGACCATCGTCCTCTTCTCCCTCAGAGAGCTCCAGTAAGGCGTCATCTAGTCCATCTCCATCCTGTGCATACCTACCCCAGGATGAGGCTGGAGCACTGTCTTTAGGTAGGAGAGAGGTGATTTTAGTCTGCTCAGACCCTGAGCCATCAAAACCACCAGAGGACTCTAGAGAGCAGGTCATGCCTGGGGAAGCAAGAGGCAGCATTTTAGACAAATGAGGGAACACTATTAGGCCGACTCAACAGTTTATGCAGGAACAGCACCTTCTCTGACATGTCTAAAGCCCTGTCACCCTGGGGATTTTATCACTAAATGTAACTTTAAGATCATGCACTAAGTTAAGAGCAGAAGAACATAAAGGACTGTCTCCCATACTGTGTGGAACTGCTGAAGCAATCAACAATCTCTCTGCCTCTGCCACGAGACCAATTGGAAGTAGGTTTCAGCTCCTGCTGGATGTTCCTTTCAGGAGGTGTCAAAATGACTGACTCCCACCTTCCTGCAGACACAAAGAAAATTAAAGGATCTTCTCATCACTTTCACCTCAGTTAATTATAATAGGCAACAAAGCTGTACTTTATTCATTTTGATCTTGATAGGGAACATCAAAAAGTTGGATTTGGGGGTCAAGAAAACAAAAAAGGCCTCTAAGGAAAGAGTTACATAACTATGGCTCTAGACTACACAATTGCTTCATCAAAAGTGTTTTACTGATCTTTAAAAAATTCTTCTCACTGTCCTGACAAACCCTTACCCTCCCCAACAGAACCTTTTTTTAAAGTACTTAAGCAAAACAAAGTGTCCCACTGACTGCACTTCATTGCTTCTTAAGGAGTGGAACAGCAATAGTGGAAGGAACATGGGCCTAATGGTGAAGAGATCTCGGCTCAAGTCCTTTGAATATAAATGTAAATAAAACTCTGAAACAGGGGAAGGACAAGTGGAAGGAATATATTAAGATAGTCAATCTGATGTAATTACTAGAAAACATAATCACTTGCCCTTTGGCCAAAATAATTGGGGCACCAGCTTCTCTTTCTCTCTCTCTCTCTCTTCCTAGTACTCTTCCCTTGGCCCCAACGTTGAGGAGAACTGTCCCCCCTTCCCCCCCAAGCTCATAAAAACACAACTGGGAGAAATTACTTAAAATATATTGGTAGACAAATTTCATAACAGAGATATTAAAAGGAATCATACCTTCCACCACCACTGCAACTCAATTCCTGTATTTCAAGGGGATAGAATGGTACATCTACTATCTTCCTGCTTCAGCTAAAATTCCTGAGAAAATGCTGTAACAAGGAGAACAGAGGGGTTTTCCTACAGACAGCTTTCAAGAGGCCTTATACAACAACCTAAGGATTCCATTCTGAGTTCTAAAATCCCTTCTCTCCTATGGCCACTTCCAATAGCCTTAGAAAACTATAGAAAAGGAAAATGAGAATACAATACTTTTTCCTTTACCTGTTTGGGGAATGATTTAAAGCATTTATTAAGCGCTTACTGTATACTAGGCATTGGGAACCCAAGTACAAGAGTGTGAGAATTCCTGCCCTTGTATGTCACAGGGATGAGGGAAGGTCCCCAAGAGCTAAGTGACACTCGTCTTTCCAGTAGCAATGGCATTATTGATTTGATTACTGTTTCCAAAGGAAGAGGGGGTCCCAGTGGACAAGTTTTACCAATGGACAATAACCAGCTTCACAACAGTGGGACACTTGTACCCTACTTCCCCAATCTTTGAGCTGCAAATTCATTGAGACAAGAATGCATAGTAGAAGACTTAGGTCCCTGTCCTACTTCTATTATTCACTAGTAATAACTCTAAGTAACCCCAATTTCCAGCTCATTTATGAAATAGGAAAACCATCCTCCATATCTCACAGGATTATTTTTGGAAGCAACTAATATAATCAATGTTAAAAACACCTTGTAAGTTGTGATGCACTATACAAATGCAAGCTATTAAATTCAAGCAAAAGGTCTACAAATAAAAGTAAAGAGGTGAAGTATAAGCCAATTGCAGTACTTCCCTCCCTGTCTTTCTCTGCAGACTCTAGAGGCAGGGATACTACAACCATTAACTGCTTTTAACAGTAAATAAATAGCCTTCATCTGAAAATGGGGAAAGTCTCCTTTATAAATCTTTCTCATAAAGGGAAAGGAATCCTCCCATTCCCAGAATCCTGCCTTTCAGTTTACTCTGCTTCCAATCACTTCTGTGACCCTATTCTGTCCCTTCAGTTGCCACCTGTCCACCCCCATCTTAACACTTGAATATGCCACCCCCTCTCTCTGTTCCACAGCCTCCCAAATGGAACCACAGAAACAGGTTCCTTTTCTATTTTTATCCTACTTCAGAAAACCCACTGCTTTAGAGCACAAAGATGGTTTTTATCCAGGGAACCAAAACAACGTAGCACCTGACACACCAAAACCCCACACTTATTATAAGGGCTATCAGCTTGCTGGCAAAAGCTAAGCCATTGGACAGCCAGGAACGGCTAAGGGAGAAGCAGAAACACAAGAGGACATCATTCTCCCACATTGCATGACTTCCAGATTGGCCTACATAGGGTACAGCACAAATTTCTAAGCTCTTCAACTTGATAACGCATTCATCATGTTTGATTTCTGACAAACATCCCATTTTTATCAAAAACAAACAAACCAAAACATTGTCCCACAGCATGTACTTGAAATGGAATGCTTTAAAACATGATCATTTTGTCAGTTCTGCTTAACTTTTTTGTTGTTACAAAGGATGGCTCAGTGAGGGGAAAGGCACCATAGAGTTAAAGCTGGAAGGGACCTTTGGGGCTATTTATCTAATCTTATTTTACAGATGAAATTTATATGATGAAATGACAGCTGTAAAAGAGCAAAAGGAATTACTAAAACTTTTAAAAGATATTAATGCTTTCAAGAGCCAATTAAGAAAACACACAATGACTACAGCAATGTAAGATCATTGCTAAAAAGCAACAAAATTCAGGCTAAATTCAATAGATAATATTGGCACCAAATTATTAAGGTTAAAGAACACACCTTTCCTTCTGTTATCAACAATAAACTACAAAAGTGAAAAGTGATCTATATACCATCAATCACAATCACTATCAGAGTTTTGCTTAATTGTTGGGGCAACAGGGAGGTAAAGAGGCTATCTGTTGTGTCAAAACAAAATCAAGCAATAAAAATATTTTTTAAAGAAATGAATGCTTTATGCTGTAAAGCACTTTACAAATACCAACTCATCGAATTCTTACAATTCTTTTGGGGTAGGTTATACAGTTATCACCTTCATGATGTTGGGCAATTCATTTAACATAGTTGGGCCTCATTTTCCTCACCTGTAAAATGAAATAGTTGGACTAAGGTCCCTTCTGGCACTGAAATCCCACATTCCTAAGCATCATTACCCTATTTTATAGAAAAGAAATCTGAGAAATGCCTTAACCAAGGGCACACAACTAGTCTTAATTTCAGATTATACACTTAAGAGGTGGAAAGAGATCCACTTAAAGGCAGCCCTAAGACAAGTCACTGGCCCAGGGCACCAGGACTAATAAATTGTAGACCAGGAGATCAAGTTCAGTGCTTCTTCCACTACCTGAGGTCAAGGGAAAGTATCCTCCTGTTCAAAATTCCCAATGTGAACTACATCAGAGGCCATTATTACTCTTCTAGGTACCGAAGGGCAGACTAACCTATCCAAGGATAGACAAAGAGGGCAAGAACCACTTCCCTCAAAGCAGCCACGGCCCAAAGAAGGGCCCCAGCCCACCTTTCTAGGTGGCTTAATCAGGAAGTTAGAGCCAGAAAGGCCCTTAGAGACTATTCCAGGGGTGGGGAGCCCACGGCCCCGAGGCCACATGTGGCCCTCTAGGTCCTCAAATTTGGCCTTTTGACTGGCTCCAAACTTCACAGAACAAATACCTTTAATAAAATGATTTGTTCTGTAAAACTTAGACTCAGTCAAAAGGCTGAACCCAAGGCCCTAGAAGGCCACATATGGCCTTGAGACCGAAGATGCCCACCCGGATTCCAATCCATCCCATCATTTTACAAATGAGGAAACTAATACCCAAAACCCCAAGTTAAGTGACTTGTCCAAGATCACACAGGAACTAAACGTCAGAGGCAGGATTTGAATTCAAGCCACCCAGACTCCAGAGCCAGTGATCTTTCCACAGTACCCTAATAATGCATACACTCCATATGGTTGGAAGGATCCACACACACACCCCATCTTGAGAGGTATGCTAGGGCCAACAGAATCAGTCGCTCCTTTCTGGGGGTGGAATGGGGCTTCTTGGCATCAACCTCTCACTCAATTCTGGGAGCAGAAGGGACAAGAGCCTTTCCTACCCTAGGGGCACACAGAGGCAGGAGACATCAGGCAGGGGCCTAGGACACTGGCCTGCAGCTCTAGGGGTGGAGGCAGGTATGGGCATTAGGCCCCCACCTCTGGGAAGCTGGAGGCACCTGACACATCAGCCCCCTATCTCTAGAAGGGAAAGCAGGTTGGGGCATCAGCCTCCCACCGCTGAGAGGAGCCTAGGACATCAGTTCCCCCCAGCTCTGGGGAGAGGCAGGGGCATCAGCCCCCCCCAGCTTTGGAGGGCAGAAGTAGACAGGGGCATCAGCCCCCCACCTCTAGGAGGCAGGAAGGAGCCTGAGACATCAGCCACCTATCTCTGAGGGGTAAAGAGGGCAGGGGCACCAGTCCCCCCAGCTTTGGAGGGAGAAGGCGGCCAGGGGCATCAGCCCCCTCATCTATGGGGGCTGGGGTGGGCAGGGGCAACAGCCCCCCAGCTCTAGGAGACAGGAAGGAGCCCGGGACCTCAGCCGCCTGTCTCTGGGGGGTAAAGAGCGCAGGGTGACATCAGCGCCCTCTCCCCGAGGGGCTCAAGCTGGCCACCGGTTGCTCTCTATCCCCCGCCTCCCGGGGTCTGGGCCTCCCGCTCCCGCCCCCGCCAAACTCCACTGAGGCCCCCGGACGGCCGGGCGCTGCCTCCTCCCCCCGACCCCGGGGGTCAGCACCCCCTCGCCGCTCTTCACCTCACGAAGCCGGGGCGGGCAAGCTCGGTTCACATAGGCCGCAGCGCCATCTTACCGCTCGCCCGAACCCCGGCCTCGCCCACCCGCGAGGTAGCCCCAGGGCCAACGCCAGCGAGGGGGTGGGGATGTAGGGGCCAAGGGCAGGGAAGGCGAGCTGCGACTAGGGGAAGGGGCGGGCCCCAGGTGATTGGCAGGAAGCCGCCCCGCCTCCCAGGGAGACCGCCCGGGCCGTGCGCAGACTCAGAGGCTGCTTCCTTCCCCACCTTCCCCCAGCGCCGCCAGCCTCCGCCTCCTCAATCCCTCTCTTCCCCAGCCCTACCTCCTCTCTAGGCAGGCGACGAAGGACGAGAAAAGGATTATCGACGTGCTCCGTTTCGGCTGCTCCGGCCTGCCTCGGGCCAAAGCCGGAAGAATGGTCCCAAGCAACGCGAGATGTTCCGGGAGCCCAGATGATGCAACCCGGCGAGGACTCCACGTGACTGTTCCTGGTGCTCGCGGTGCCGGCGCCTGCTTCGGTTGGGGAAGGGGCGCAAGCGCGGGCAGGAGGCAGGAGGCGGGGCGCGCTGACTGGGGTCTTCTTCGTTCTCCCAGCCCCCAGCGTACTCCACCATGGGAGACTCGCCGACCCCAGAGGAGAAACTACATCTCATCACTCGCAACCTGCAGGTAGCTCCCCCCACGACTTCCGGGCACGCAGACCCTCCCCCCGTGGGAGCCCTTGCCCGGCCCCTCCCCCACCGGAGACCCCGCCAGTTCTTAGCACAGTGCCTGGCATATAGTAAGGCAATACAAAATCCTTATTCTTTTTCATAAGAGGCCCTGCTTGGCCCCCTTCCCATTGAAGATTACTCATTTTTGACCCCTTTTTTCACCTTTTAGAGATTTTGCTCATCTCTTCCCTTGGGGGGGCGATGGGGGTCCCTTTCCATCCCTTCCACAGGATACTTTGCGCATGCTCTCCCCTGGAGTCCTTTCCCATCCTACTGCATGGGGTCCTTCCCCTCATGGAATCATAGGTCTAGAGCTGAAAGGAATTTAAGAAGTCATCAAGTCCAGTCTCATTTTACAGATGAGGACTCTGGGGCCTAGAAAGGTTAAAGGGACTTGGCTAAAGTCACACAGGTAGTAGTAAGTGGCAGAGGCTGGATTCCACCTCCCTCCCCGTCCCATCAAATGAGGGTTCTGTGCCCATCTCGGCACCCACAGGGTCCCTGCCCGTTGTGGTGTCCATCTTTCACCTTCAGTGGACTTCTTTTGTACCCTACCTGCGTCCCCTTCACTGAGCTGTCAGCACCATCCCTCACTCTCCCCCATCCGCCCACCATGCACATCCTCCTGAACTGGTAGAGCTTAATGTCGTCTCCAACCCTCATGAAGAAACTGGTCGTCACCAATTTCTTGTTCTGCAACAGGAGGTCCTTGGTGAAGAAAAGCTGAAGGAGATCCTGAAGGAGAGGGAACTGAAAGTTTACTGGGGGACCGCCACCACAGGCAAGCCGCATGTGGCCTACTTTGTGCCCATGTCAAAGATCGCCGACTTCCTGAAAGCGGGGTGTGAGGTGAGAGCAGGCTTTGGGCTTAGGGAATGGCCAGGAGATGAGATAGCCTTCCCAGTATTGTTGTGATAGACAGTAAACTTAATGTCTGGCATGGAGGAGCATTTCAGCCACGCTTCTTCTTTGTTTCCGTCTCTCCAGGTGACAGTCCTCTTTGCTGATCTTCATGCATACCTGGACAATATGAAAGCTCCATGGGAGCTCTTGGAACTACGGACCTCCTACTATGAAAATGTGATCAAGGCCATGCTGGAGAGTATTGGGGTTTCCCTGGAGAAGCTGAAATTTGTCAAAGGCACTGATTACCAGCTCAGCAAGTGAGTGTTGGTGCCTTCCCAACCTTTAATCCTCACCCCACCTAGCCACCTTTCTGCTTGCTACTTGCCTCTTCATTGCACTGATATCTTTGTCTAACTGTGGGCCTGTGGAGCCTAGATGCTCTGTAAGTATAGGGTTGGAAGGTACTTTATTGTTGGATTTTTTAAAGTCTGTCAGCCCTTCCTTCACCTACCCAATAGTTCCCATATGGCTATAGTTGTATATTTGTTTTTTATAGCTCTTTCATGCATGAGCTTTGATTTGTTTTAGACTTGGTCTCTTTTCTTTTCAGGCTGTGGTTAAGGAACATGTTGTAAAGCTGATTTAACAAGGCAGCAGATCTCGTAGCAGCTCATGATATGGCAGGCCTTGGGTCTCTGATCCCATTAAAGACCCTAGACCATGGGATCATGTTCTGAGGTGAAGGAAAAGGAGATTATTTATTAGTGGGTTTTTCCTAGGCCTAGTTATGTCATGGGTTGAAGGAGGTGGTCAAGGATGGGATCTTGTATCTTTATTGATCTTCATGTCTTCTCTTTTTCTTTTCAGGGAGTACACACTGGATGTTTACAGACTGTCCTCGATGGTCACCCAACATGATGCAAAGAAAGCTGGGGCTGAAGTAGTGAAACAGGTGGAACACCCTTTGTTGAGTGGTCTGCTCTACCCAGGACTACAGGTACTTGGACGAATAGAAGGTGGCCAGATTATTTCCTTAAAACACTGCCTTCATGGTGAAAAACCTTCAGTGGTGAACCACTGCCTACAGGGTGAAGCCCATTCCACTTCGTCTAAAATTTCACAGTCCTCTAGAGTCTGGCCCCAGGTTCCCTCTCAGGCTTTATCTCCCACTACTTCTCAACACATCCAGTGCTTACCCACCTTTGTTCATACCATTTGAGCAAGGTATTTCACACTAGAAAGGCCAGGCACATCAATTGATACAAAAATGTTATTATAATTTTACTTGGAAATAAAAAATGTTCATCTTATATTTTCTTTGCTTTGTGAATAAAAAAATGCACTGTGTTGTTTGACATAGCTTGGTGTTTTAAGGTGTTCTTAAATTCCATTTCTTCTAGTGTTACTGTTAGAACTTGGCCCTAACCTTTCTTTCTAACCTTATTTATACATTCTTCACCTTCCCCACTCTACAGTCTGACCAGATTGGCCATTTTACCTAATCCTTGCGCGTAATATTCTAAGTGTGTACCTTTGCCCTGCCCCCAGCTTCCCTGTGATTCACTCCCTCCTCACTTAGGACTCTTAGAATCTCTCATTTCTTTTACAACTCAGCTCTGGCGCTGCCTCCTTCTCAAAGCCTGTTCTATCCCCTGAGCTGATACTCTCTTCCCTTCCCTTCCCCCCCCCACCAAAAAAATTATCTCGTATTTATTTTGTATATACTGAGATTAGATATGTATACTCCTACTCTCTGTCTCTTGCTGTCTCCCCCAGTAAGGCTTGAGGGTAAGGACTGTTTCATTTATTTTGTTTTATTTTGTGTTTGTACCTCCAGTCCTTGGTTCAGTATTTGGCATGTAGCAGGTCTTAGTAAATGCTTATTGATTGAGTTGTAGAAAGATGAAAAAGTACATAAAGGCAAGTGGTGAGAAATACATTTGGAAAGGAGGGTTGGAATCAGAAACCCAAAGTTGAAAGACTCCTCTGTGGTCATACAGGCCCCCCTCAAGATGGATAAACCCACCTCCTCCCACAACAGAACACTCTGCTTTTGAATAGTAGATTTAATTATCACAAGGTTTTCCTTCAAGGTTTGCCACTTTGTTATGTCCAGCCATTGGCCCCAAGTCTGCCCTCTAGAGGCCAAAAAGAGTAAGTCCAATCCCTCTTCCATACAACAACTGGTCAGAGATCTGAAGCTGCCATCCTGATTCACCCCAGGACTGCCTTCTAGCTAAACGTTGCCAGTCACTCCGAATGGCCTTCATAGATCATGATCTTGAGAGACCTTTTACCATCCCAAGTGCCCTCCACCAAACACCCTGCCCCTTATTGATGTACTTCCCAAAATGTGGCCTCTAGGTCTGAGTTTTATTATACTGACCCAGGGCAGACTATAGCAGAGCTACTACTTTATTAGTCCTGGATGTTATCTGCCTTTCTTAATGCAATATAGGACAGCATTTGCCTTTTTTTGGCTACCATGTGACATGGTTTACTATTTGAACTTAGTAGGCAACTGAAAACTGCCCAAAAGTGACATAGTAGAAGGAGCAGTAGATTTGGAGCCAGAGGCCCTGGACCCAGCCCTTGCAAATCAGTGCCCCTCACTGGGCCTCAATTTATCCTGAATGGTAAAATGAGAGGGTTGGAACTAATGAAGGGGAAGGGATTAAGGCCAGGGGTGGGCAACCTGCAGTCTCAAGGCCATATGTGGCCCTCTAGGTCCTCAAGTGCAGCCCTTTGACTGAATCCAAACTTCACGGAACAAATCCCCTTAGTAAAAGGATTGTTTTGTAAAACTTGGATTCAGTCGAAAGGCCAAACCCAAGGACCTAGAAGGCCACATGTGGCCTTGAGGCTGCAGGTTCGCCACCCCTGGAATAAGCATTTCTATAGAGTACCTACTAAGCGGCAGGCCCTCTGCTAAGCACTTTTACAAATATTGTCTCATTTGGTAATATTTCATTACCTTTTAAGCCCCTTCCAACTTTAAATGTATAATCCCATGAAATCTTTTTCAAATGAACCACTGTTTAGCCATGTCTCTATCTTATTTAGTTCTGCCCATTTTTGTAGCCTGTTGAGATTTTTTTCGAATCCTGACTTCAGTCATCCAGTATTTTAGCTGCCACTTCTAACAAATTGGATGAGCATGTCATCTCTACCTTAAAGTTCTTACTAACATTGTAAAATACACAGGGCCAAGTGCAGAACCTTGGGGCACCCCATTAGAGACCTCCTTACAAGGTGACATCAACTAATCTTTGACTCTTCCCAGAATCCCCTGATTGTATATTATCTCTCTAGCCCATTTCTCTGCATCTTCTCCACAGGCCTTTGTCAATGCTTAGCTACAGCCTTTGCCTCATCAAACAGTCTGGATTGTTGTTGTGGTGGTGGTTTGTCCTTCATTTTCGAAGAGGACTATGACATCAGGGAGAGGATGCCATGACGTGCAAGTGAATTGGATTACAGTGAGGGAGGGCTGTGCAATGTCACCAACCTCACTTTCTCCTCCAGAGCCATCTGGGTCCAGTGGCCAGATATAGATCAGGATGACTGGAGAGGGCCCTGTCTGGAAAGGAAATTAGGGTAATCTTGCGTGACCTGGATCTCTGGTCCATTGTTTCTTTTTCAGGATGTTTACTAACCCTTTAATAATACATCTCAGTCTTGCCAGGAATTGAAATCAGACTTTCTAGCTTATAAATAGTGAATTCTATCCTCTTGCCTTTTTTGAAAAATCAGGACATTTGTGCTTCTCCAATCCTGCAGTCTCTCTCCTGTTCACCTTGATTTTCAAAGTAGATCACTGACTGGCTCAGCAATTACATCTGCAGATTCTTACCCAAGGATGTAGTCCATCTGGGTCTAATGACTTGAACTCATCAACAGCAGTTAGGTGTTCTCTTACTATCTCTCTGCTTATCTTGGGTATCAATTCCTTATTAGTCATTTTAGTTTTGCCTTTTCCAATGCAAAGATCATTCTACTTGACCAAGTGAAAACACAGCTACTCTGCCTGTTCCTCCCTGTCCTCTCTTCTCCAATCCAATCCAGACATTTATTAAGTGCATTCTATGTGCAAGGCCGTCCTGGGCTCTGGCACGATAAGGACCACATGTGAAACAATCCCTGCCTTCCTTCTACCAGGGACTAAAGGGGAATAAAATATGTGAAGTGTTTTGTATACAAGTGATAAAATGGTCTCCTGATTCTGAAAAGTCTGTATAGGTCTTCCCAGGTTTTTCTGGAATCATCCCCCCCCCATCATTTTTTTTTTTTTTTTTTTTGTGAGTCAGTCAGGGTTAAGTGACTTGCCCAGGGTCACACAGCTAGTGAGTATCATGTGTCTGAGGTCAGATTTGAACTCAAGTCCTCCTGACTCCAAGGCTGGAGCTCTATTCACTGCACCACCTAGCTGCCCCTCCCTCATCATTTCTTATAACACCATAGTATTCCATCACAATCCTGTATCACAATTTAAGCCATTCCCCAATTGATGGGCATCCCCTCAATTTCCAATTCTTGCCACAACAAAAAAGAGCTGCTATAAATATTTTTGTACAAATAGATCCTTTTCCCATTTGTATGATCTCTTTGGGATACAGACCTAGTAGTGGTATTGCTGGATCAAAGGGTATGCACAGTTTTATAGCCCTTGGGACATAGTTCCAAATTGTTCTCCAGAATGGTTGGACCAGTTCACAATTCCACAAATAATATATTAGTGTACCTATTTTCCCTCATCCCTTCTAGCGTTTGTCATTTCTGGTAGAAGTAATGAAACCTCAGAGTTGTTTTAATTTGCATTTCTCTAATCAATAGTGATTTAGAGATTCTTTTCATATGACTATAGATAGCTTTGATTTCTTCTGAAAAGTCAGGCAAAAATATTCTTACTGGCCCTTGTTAGATGCATTCATCTCTGACCAAAAGCATGCTCTTTGGAGCTGTGATTCAGAAATTCAAATCCTGTTTTCAGATACCATCTTCCTAGGCAGCTCCTCACCTCTCAAAACTGCCTTTCCTTTTGAAAACTCTTGCTTTGAATGAGGAAGAATTGAAGATGCCATGTGGCCAAGCACTTAAGGGCTTCCATTTCTTGGCCAGTGCTTGACTTCTCTAACAGTGCTTTCTAGATCCACCTACTCGTGTCATCACTGTCCGTGTGAATCGCTAGCAGTGGGCATTTGATCATTTGGTTTGATATCATGGATGGGTGGTTCTCTTGTCATGTTGTCGATCAGAGGTATCAAACTTGGGAGCCCCTCCTGAGTAATTTTACCAGTTACATGTGAAAGTAAAATACAGCTTAAATGTTGTTAATCTGTGGTTGTCAAAGTCAGTATGTGACTTGCAGGGATCCTTTTCTATTTGAGATTAACACTGCTGTTGTAAATGCATTCTCCAGGAAGCCAGAAGATTATGGAAAGTCTTAAATACCGTGCTTAGAAGTTTATATTTTATCCTCTAGGCAATAGGAGGGCATAAGGCTTCCAGACCTTGAACAAATCTTGCACATTTTCTGCTGAAATTAATTGGGTTCCAGTGGGGCGAATGAGAACTGGTAGCACACGTGAGTGGTGGGCCAAGCTTACGCTGCTGGTCTAAATGCCTCTACCTGGAATTTGGGGGGAAAGAATCGGCTCCAGGAATTGACTACTAACTACCCTGTCTTCCTTTTGTTCTGTGAATGTTTGTTGATTAGTACATCCGGGCAACTGAATATTGTCATGTTGTCTATTTCTTGACCTCTGGTAGGCTTCTGTTCTCTCAGAAGGAAAACTGTGCTCTCCTTTCTTCTCTCCACAGGCCCTAGATGAGGAATATCTGAAAGTTGATGCCCAGTTTGGAGGAGTTGATCAGAGGAAGATTTTTACCTTTGCAGAAAAGGTGAGTTCCAGTTTGGGGCCTTAGGTTTCAGTGGAATATTTATTTTTCTCTATGCATTGCTACAGACCCCCCACCAGCAGGGCCTTGGCCATCCTGTGAGGTATAGTCCTTATTTTTATTTCCCAGAAGAATGAGTCCCTGCTGTCCTGCATCTGGGCCTGATGATATTTCACTAGGTGGAAATAGTTTGCCCACATTATTAAAGACAGCTCAGTGTATTCGAAAGAATATGGCACTAGAATTCAGAAGACCTGAACATCAGGTTTGGCTCTCAGCTGCCTAATTTCTGTCTGACCCTTAGCAAGTACTGTAGCTTCTCCAAGTTATAGTGCTTCAAAGCACTTGGAGTCAGCAGCATGGAAAGAGCCTGGACTTAAGAGACAGAAAGACCTCAGTTCAGATCCTCCCTCAGACACTAGCTGTATGACCCTGGGCAAGTCACATCTCTTAACTTCTTTATCTTCAAAGTGGCCTTAACCCCACTAGTACCCATGCTTTCACATGGTTATTGTGAGATTCAAGTGAGATAATGTTCATAAAGCATTTTGCAAAATTTTTGCCTTATAGAAATGCCCCTGTCATTGTTATCAATCAAAGGAGGCTAATACCTACTTTGCCTACTTCCTAGATTGCTTTGAGAGTTGCCTTGAGTGTAATAGGTACTCGGCAGATGGATCTTAAAGGGCTTTTCAAACTATAAATGATTGTTCAAATACAACGGATTATTATTTAAATGGAAAGGGAGAAAGGAAAGTCATTATAAGGCTATGAAGTTCCTTGTTCCTTGTTTTGGGTAAATGGGAAAAAGAAAAAAAAACCAACAGTCTTGTAGCCTTGTAGAATTTAGAGTAGGCCTACAGAAACCAGGGTCAGGCCCAAAGAATGGTAACGACATGAAAGAGCAGCCTGTCATGGAGGATAGAGAGCTGCCAAGGGAGCCAGGAAAGCCTGGGGGGAAGCCAGCCCCACCTCTGCCCATAGTGGCTGAGTAGCCCAGGGCAGGTCACCTAAACTAAGGCCACACGGAAGGCTCCCCACCCTGATTAAAGCCTCATGCTCCAAGCAAATCTCTAATGCAAACAGGCCTGAGCCGCCGTCTGTACTGAAGAAGGGAGTGCCCGTATATGGACAAAGTAGCACCATTTAAAATCAGCAGAATAACTCCAGATGGGGGCTCATGTGATGCTTTTGTCTGGGGTCTTCCATGTAACAAGTAAAAGGGAATGCTGAGAAGTGACTAGTGTAGTGAGAACTGATCTCATGACCAGTTGTCCTCTCCATGCCTGTGCCTTGCCAAATGCCACCTCCGGATGATTCCTGCCACCTGCCTTCTCTGCTCCTTCTGAATGGAGCTGGAGGAAGTCCCCAAACCCTGCTGGCTAGGTTAGGTCCATTGCAGATGTAGGATAGCTAATCTCAACTGGGCCCTTACTATGGTAGAACACATCTTTTATTCATCTCTAATTGACTTTCTATTGCACTCCTCCCCAGAGGCTCTTTCAAACCTTTTCTCCCTAAACCTTCCTTCCTTTCTCAGCTAAAGACTTCCCCTCCTTATTGAGAGAATAGAGGCTATTCTCCATGAGTTTTCCCTTTTCCTCTTTTAATAATGATAATCGCTAGCATTTACGTTGAGCTTTAAGTACTTAAAAGTAATCTCATTCTCTCACAACAAACCTGCAAAGGAGGTGCTATTGTTATCATCCCTATTTTACAGATGAGAAAACTGAGGCACAGAGAGGTTTAAGTGGCTTGCCTGTTGTCACACAGCTAGTATCTAAGAAAAGGTTTGAACTCAGATCTTCCTGAGTACAAGACCAATATTCTATCCAACATATCACCTAGTTACCTTCATCTCCAAACCCCTCAGCATCATCCCCCACACTCTTTACTTCAGTCTGTATCAATGAGACGACTCTTCACCTGCTACTCTCACAGGTGCCCTTGATATCATTTCTGTCTGCCTCTCCCTTCCCTCTTCCCCCCTCCCTCCCTCTCTCCCTTTCTATCTCTTTCTTTCCCACCTTCTTCCCCTCCTTTCCTCCCTCAGCTCCTCTCTTTCCCTCCTTCCCACATCCCTTTCTCTCTTTTGCTCTCCCTCCCTCTCCTTGTATTTTCTTCAGTAACTTTCTATTGCCTCTAGGATAAAATAACTCCTCTGTTGGCCATTTAAAGCTTGTCAAAACCTGAGCCCCAACCCCACCCTATCCTTCCAGTCTCATCATATTTTACTCCACTTTTCTCACTGTGCCGTCCAGCCAGGCTGCCGTCTTCTCTGGTCCTGGCAGTGGTGTTCCATCTCCTGTTTCTGCTCTTCTCCCTCCTTATCTGCATCTTGTTGATTCCCTGCCTTCCAGATTCTGCTCCTGTACATACTTAGAGATGATAGAATGGAAGTTCCTGGAGGGCAGGAGTTGTTTCCCTTTTGTTTTTGTATCCTGGGTGCCTCACTCCTAAAAGCTGCTTAATAATTGCTTGGGGAGAGGCATTCATCCAGGATATTGAGCCAGTTGCTGGATTGGTGATCGCCTCTTTTTCCCTGTGTTTTCTTCCTGCTTCTAGTACCTCCCAACCCTGGGCTATTCAAAGAGGATCCACTTGATGAATCCTATGGTCCCGGGATTGACAGGCAGTAAAATGAGCTCTTCGGAAGAGGTGGGTGTTCATCTGTGCCTCAATGGTGGCTGTAGTTCTGGGGCAGAAAATGAGAGAGGGACTAGGAGGTGTTAAAAGAAAATAAATTGGCAGCTGGGAATGCCTTTAAAGATAAAAAGGACCTTTGAGGCCATTTAGTCCAGCCCCCCTGTTCAGTATCTGATCGGAGGTTGGGAAATACATGTGACTGTTTCTTAACCATATGTGCACACATTTTTTTGGTAGGTGACAAGCACACAATCTTAATGCTTTTTTTCTCTAGTGTTGCAGTGTTTCATGTGCTAGCTTGTTACTCTCAACCCACCTGTCCTGTTCGGTGACATTCACCATATCTTATCACTAAAAAGGGTGCTAGACAGAGAAGGTTCTCTGTCCATGTCCATCTCCATGGCAGGTCCCCAGGGTCGTGGAAAGGTGGGGGCCTGCCCTGTGGAGCAAACAGATTCTCGTTTGAGAACCAGCTGGAATGTTCTCATTTTTCAACCCGTCAAAAGGTTCTCTCTGCCCCATGGGTTATAGGAGTCCAAGATTGATCTTCTTGATCGGAAGGAAGATGTGAAAAAGAAACTGAAAAAAGCCTTCTGTGAGCCAGGGAATGTGGAAAACAACGGAGTCTTGGCCTTCATCAGATACGTGCTTTTCCCCCTCAAATCAGGTGAGGGGCTCAGCTATTGCCATTTCTGTCACATGAAAGCCATCCTCTGGCACAGTCCCCCAGTGAAGTGGGGTGAGCAGGCCTGGAGGGAGCCCTGAGGTCAGGCTCCAGTGCAGGGGGGACTGTGTGAGACCTCGGACAGCCCCCTCACCTTCTCTGGGTGGGACTTGCTTCTGCCACAGATAAAATGAGGGTCCTGGGATGCGGTCCTCCCCTGCTCCAGGTAGAGGGTTACGTCACTGATTGAACTGCCTCCCACTGGGGTCATGCACTGCAGCGGCATGCAGCCGCCTCAGGAGAATCCCCATTTTACAACAGTGGAGACTGAGGCTCCCCACCATGAAGTGGGTGCCCAAGGTCATACAAGCTAGAACGAGGCCTCCAGACTCCTGGTCCCCTTTCTGCTACGTCCTGCCCTTGGGGCTGCTCAGGCCTATGTCTCAGTCATCCCCTCACAGGAACTAGTCTCTCCTGTCTCCCTGCCGTGTCCCTGTCTCTGAATTAGGCACCATGTGGTGGGGCAGACGTAGAAGCCTGAGATACAACTCCTGTAAGACTGAGTGATTAACTGTGCAGTTATTTGGCTCCAAGCTGGGGGTCAGCAGCTGTCTGTGAGCCTCTTCTCCGTTTTGTAGAGTTTGTGATCCTTCGAGACAAGAAGTGGGGTGGCAATAAAACCTACACGGCTTACTCCGAGCTGGAAAAGGACTTTGCAGACCAGGTAATACCCAGAGTGGAGCGTACCCAAGACCTTCTCCCCGCTCCTACCCCTCTGGCCATCCTTTCCTGTCTCCTTTGCTGGATCTTCATCCCGGCCACCTCCTCTAACCCTGTGGGTCTCCCAAGACTCGGTCCTGGGTCCTCTTCTCTCCTGCTTCTGTTCCACTTGGTGGATCCCAGCAGGGCCCATCAGTTCTGCTACCTGAGTCCAACTGTATCTCCAGCTCCCTTTTGGACATCTTAAACTCAGCATCTGAAACAAACCCATTCTCTTTCCCACTAAACCTTCCCCTCATCCTAACTTCCCCGTTACTGTTGAGAGCACCACCATTCCCCTCAGTCACCAACACTTGCACCTGAGGTGTCACCCTAAGCTTCTCACTGTCACCCCCACCTCTCCCCCAGCTCCCGTCTTTTGTCATATCTTGTCATGTGTTCTGTTCTCAGCATCTCTCAACTATGCCCCGTTCTCTCCTCGGACATTGGCAGCACTCTGGTGCAGACCCCCATCATCTCTCGGCTGGAACATTGAGATAGCTGCTGGTGGGTCTGCCTGCCTCAGGCATCCTCTTCTCAGCAGTCAAAATGGTCTCCCTAAAGTACAGGCCGAAGCATGTCACCCCCCACTCCACACACACACACACACACACACACACACACACACACACACACACACTCTCTCTCTCTCTCTCTCTCTCTCTCTCTCTCTCTCTCTCTCTCTCTCTCTCCCCCCCTCCCCCCCCCCTCTCCCCCCCCCCCCCACTCCGTCTCTGGGCTTTGACTGCCTGCCTCCCGGGCCTGAGATGTTCTCCTCCGCCTCTCCATCTCCCAGCTTCCTTCACTTCTCAGCTGAAATCCCATCTTCTGTACGAAGCCATTCCTAGTCCTCCTTATTCATCTTAGTACCTTTCTTCTGAAACCATCCCCAGCTCATCCTGGCTGCATCTGGTTTGTACATCATCCTCATTTGGTAGTGAGCTAGTTGAGAGCAGGTTTGGGGGTGAGGTTACCTTTCTTTGCATCCCCAGTGCCTTACACAGTGGCTGACACATGACAGACGCTCCTAAACACTCGGGGACCGACCATTTTTGTTGAGGGCACTGCCCACCTCCCAGTCATCTTCGTCATCCCTCTAACCCCTCCCCCCAGTCATTCAGTCAGCCTTACATGCCTGCTGTGTGCCAGGCACTGTTCATGAATGCTGGAGATACAAAGAAAGGCAAAAGACAGTGCCTGCCCTCAAGGAGCTCACAGTCGAATGGGGGAGACAGTATGTAAATAACTATGTACAAACAAACTATAGACAGGATAAATAGGAAATAATCAAGGGAAGGCATTAGAAGTAAGAGGGATCAGGGAGGCCAGGAGGTGGATAAGGCCAGTGTTCCCGGGGGTGCAAACAGGGTTTTATATTTGATCCGGGAGGTGATGGGGACCCACTGAAGTTTACTTAGTAGAGAGGTGACTGTCAAACCCCATGCTTTAGGAAGATGACATAGGTAGCTCAGTGGAGGAGGGAAGGCAGTGAGGAGAGACTCTGGGCAGGCGGCCCGGCTGGTGTGAGGTGATGAGGGTCTGCATCAGCGGTGGGGCAGTGTCTGAGGAGAGAAGGGGCCGTGTCAAATCAGCGGCCAAGTCCTAGTGATTCTGTCCCCAACATCTCTTTCATTGTTCCCCTTCTCTCTGCTTACATATCCACTGCTCTGGCTCAGGCCTTAGCACCTCTTACCTGTCCTGTTTATTAGCATCCTAATTGGGGTCCTTTCTAGTCTCTCCCTCTCCAATCTGTCCTTCACATAGCAGTCAGAGCAGTCTTCCTGCCGCCTACCCTTCGTCAGTAACACTGGCCTCACAGATGTCCCGGGAATAAGACCCTGCGTGTCTCGGCTCCCGACCCTCTCTCTGCCTCTGCCCCGTGCCTGGAAGGCTCTCCTTCCTCGTCTTTACTTTCTGGCTTCTCTGGCTTCCTTCATGTCCCAGCCAAAATCCCACCTTCTATAAGAAGCCTTTCCCAATGACTCTTACTTCTAATGCCTGCCCTCTGTTAATTATTTCCTATTTATCCTGTGTATAGATTGTTTGTACGTGTTTGTTTGCCTGTTGTTTCCCTTGTTAGGTCATGCGTGAGCTCCTTGAGAGTGGACACTGTCTTTTACCTCTCTTTGTATCCCCAACACTTAGCACAGTGCCTGGCATGTAGTAGGCATTTAATGAATGCTTACTGACTGACTGTAGCATATACTAATCCCATCAGACTCCCTGCATGGTAGTTCTCTAAAGTCCTTCACGATTCAGCTCCAGGCTCCCCTTCTAGCATGCTGTGCCCCAGACTTTGCATCCCCTCCCTGCCTCTGTGCATCACATAGGCCATTCTCTTCCACCTAGAATGTCCTCTTGGTGATTCTCCAGGCATGCCTTCCTCATTTTTCCTAAAACCCCTTTTGTCTGATCTTTCCCTTGCCACCTTTTCTCCCTGCCTTGTGTTATAGTGATTGATGGGCATGCTGTATACCCTAGTTGAATGGAAGCTTTTTGAGGGCAGGCATTGTTTCCATTTCTGTCTGTGTCTCCCCTGTGTCAAGCATAGTACCAGACACATAGGAAATGCTTAGTGTTTGTTGATTTAAATTAAATAGAAAGGCCAGTGGGAACCTGGTCCTGAACAATTCTTCTTTGCTCATGAGATGTTTCCATCTCCAGATGACTCAGCACTGGAGAAACCCTTCAGTAGGATCATTAGGAAGGATCTGCTTTGAGTCAACACCTCAAAAGCTTTGCCAGGGTTGTTGGTGGAGGTGGGATTGTTAATTCAGGTCAGGACGTCGCCTGCCATGTCATAGACACTAAGACCTGGACCAGCAGTCTTTTGAGAGCCATTGACCTGAGGTGCAAAATCAAATTAGGTCAGCACCAGGAAATGTCCATCTCCTCCCCAACCCTCCCCAGACCTGTCTTTCTCTCAGGCTTCCTCTTTGTATCTGCTTCATTGTCACCAAATCACTGGGCACAGTGGAGAATGGAGTCTCTTTAGACTAAATGAGGACGTTTCCTAGGAAGCCTCTCCTGATCTTGCCCAGCTACTGCAGCCCCCTCCCCCAAAATCACCTTCTGTTCCCTTTGTGTGTTTTGTATGTATGTGTGTCATACGTGCGATCACATGTCTTCACATTGACGTGTAAGCTCCATGAGGACAGGGGATTTTTGTTTTTTGTCTTTGTATCCCCAGACGTGTAATAGTAGATGCTTAATAAATGTTTGTTGATTGGTTGAGAGTGCAGATATTAAGACAAATAAACATAGTCTCTAAAAAATATTCAGTCTGTTAAAAATAAAATACAAACAGATGTGTATCATGGATGAAAAGGGGGAGGGTGTCGATGTCACAGGATTCAGAATTCGATTTAATTAATGTGTGCTGTTGATATTTACATAGATTTTGGTTTCCCCAGTGTTCCCTATCTGATTTTTGTTGTCTCAGTGGGTTGTCTTCTCCTGTGACAGGTGGTACATCCTGGAGATCTGAAGAATTCAGTTGAAGTTGCCTTGAACAAATTGCTGGACCCCATTCGGGAAAAGTTTAATGCCCCTGCATTGAAGAAACTGTCCAGTGCAGCTTACCCTGACCTGACAAAACAGAGTAAGGCCAACTAGACTGAGGAATGAAGAAGAGGCCAGGATAGGAGCTTCCCACCCTGGGATCCCAAGCAATCCAAAGAATGCCTCCGTTACTTAGGTGGGGACCCAGCATCAGCTTCCATTTTTATGGAGTTGATGCTGATGAGATCACCTAGACCACAGTAAAACCAGCTCAGGAGTCTCTCTGGTCACACAGGCATTAGATGCGTTAAACCCACTTCGTCATGGAAAGGGGTGCTCACTGCCCTTAGGCCAGGGATTGGCAACCTTCAGGTGGCAGATCATAGGATCAGAGAATTTCAAGCCAGAAGGGCCCTTTAGGATCATTTGGGGGCCTGGCCCGCACATCGAGAAGAAGCGAGTTATTTAAAAGCCCACAGGTTACCATTTACTGTGGCACAGCCAGCTTAGGAACCCAAGTCTGATGACTCCAAATCTAATGCTCTCTTCCACTCCATGATACTGGCTGTGTGTGAAATGACAAAACTGTGAAATCAGGAAAATGTCACGTCACCCTGATTTTAAGCCAAGGGTAGCCCTCGGGTTCCTTGTGAGGTCACAGTTGCACTCTTGATTGGCTTCACATCTTTATCCTGTTGTCATCTGCAGAGCCAGTGGCCAAAGGCTGTGCCAAGAACTCAGAGCCAGAGGAGGTCATCCCTTCCCGGCTGGACATCCGTGTGGGAAAAGTGATCAGTGTAGAGAAGGTATGTATTTTTCATTTCTTCCAGGTGAGGCCAGCCAGGGTCAGAATGGCCTTATTTCCATCTGGAGGAAATGAGTGCAGAGAGAGGAAAGGCCTCCTCTGTAGCTGTGGAGTGAGTCAGAATTCAGGGACTTGATTCCCAGGCCAGGCTGTATCCGTCAGACCTGCCTCTCTGCTTCACCGCCAAAGCCAGCCAGGGAAGCAGGGAGGAGGCTTATTTACCTACTGAATCCAGTTCTCTGGGCTTCATCCAGGCTTACACAGCATGCCCCAACTGGCTAAGGGCCTTATCCAGCACTGTCATTTTGCCCTTGCCTGGGGAGGGCAGCCCACAGAAGGGAGGTAGAAGAGAGAAAGAACTGTATTTCCCAGGGAGATCGAGAGGGTTGCACAACTGAGGAATTAGGGCCTTTTGGTTTCTGGGGTTTTTTCTCCACAACCAGCAGAGTCTCCTGCAGGGCACATTGGTTCTCAAGTGTCCAGATTCATAATTGGCAGTGATCAGTATCCCTCCAGTGGACTCTATGTGGAGCCTCTCTCTTGTGGTTTTTAAAACCATGGTCACAAACCTAGACAAGCTAGGCATCTGGGTGCCTTTGGTTCAAGCAGCTTCTAGACCAAGAGGCTTCAACTCATCCCTTTCACTGGGCTCATCTCCCCCAGCAGCCCTCATCACATTTGAGGGGGGATGTGCCCAGAGGTCATGCTCTAAAGAATTATCTTCCCATGACCAGTGCGGCTGGAGCAGGGCACCAATCTCACTTCTGGCACTTCCACCCTTCCCCTTCCCGAGGTCACCTCTTTAAAACAGGCCATGATAGTCACAGTGACTGTGGCTGGTGGCTGCCCTGCAGCTTCGGGAGGCAAGCAGCATAGGGCAGAGACTGGGATCTCCCCTTGGGTATTCAAAGAGACCCAGTGGGTGTTCAGAGCTGGGATTCAGACCCAGGCCTGGATCCAAACTCCAGCCTTGGGGCAGCTAGGTGGCACAGTGGATAGAGCTCCAGCCTTGGAGTCAGGAGGATCTGAGTTCAAATCTGGTCTCAGACCAGACACTTAACACTTACTAGCTATGTGACCCTGGGCAAGTCACTTAACCCCGATTGCCTCACCAAAAAACAAACAAAACTCCAGCGTTATTTCTAAAGAGTGAGACTTAAAGTTAGACTAGCCTTGGACGATTTGGGAGCTGAGAGTTAGTGAACATGTTGCTTTGCTCTTCTTGGGCCACCTTGGAGATGCCCCCTTGTGGGCCTTCATTCACTTGAACTTCTGCCTCCCTAGCACCCGGACGCAGACAGTCTGTACCTGGAGAAGATTGATGTTGGGGAGCCAGAGCCGCGGACGGTGGTGAGCGGCCTGGTTCAGTTTGTTCCCAAGGAGGAACTGCAGGACAGACTTGTGGTGGTCCTGTGCAACTTGAAACCGCAGAAAATGAGAGGAGTGGAGTCACAAGGGATGCTTCTCTGTGCGTCCATGTAAGTGAGGGTTCCTGGGAAGGCAAAGGCCATGCCTTCAAGAAGAGTAGAGGCAGGGAATGAGGCGCACGCATTCTTCCTGTATGGATTTATTACATTGTGAATCAAGCAGAAGATGGGGCGCCAGTTGGCAAGGCATGGTGAAACCTGCATTTGGAAGACTTGGGGCAAATGAGGTTGAAAGTTAGACTTGGTAATAAATTGCATCCCTCTTCCAATGTGGAGCCATTCTGAGGTAGCATGGACCCTTTGGCTGAGCCCAGCTGCTTGTCCTCTCCCATTTCTAGCATGATAGCAGCAGAGCATGGGGGGGGTGACCCGAGTCTCTGCAGGACTTTAGCCCCATTTGGGTCCCTGAGTAGCCTCCCACAACTGATGGGACTTTCCGGGGGGAACCTTGGGGCAGCTCTAGAACCTCCTTATCCTTGTGCTGTTGTGTCTTCTCAGGGATGGGGCAAACCGCCAGGTGGAGCTCCTGGACCCTCCTTCCAGCTCCGCCCCTGGGGAGCGAGTGTTTGTGGAGGGCTATGAGAAGGGCCAGCCTGATGAGGAGCTCAAGCCCAAGAAGAAAGTCTTTGAGAAGCTGCAGGTAAGAAGAGCTGAGCTCCCTGCCCCACCTGCCGATCCAGTCCCTGCATTGTATCGACCCTATATAAACGTAGTTACATATAGTTATAGAGGTCACACAGGCGGCAAGTAGAGGTGTGCAGCCAGGGCCTCCGTGTGGTGCTCGGGTCCCTCAAGTCAGGCCAGCTCAGAAGCCAGGGTTGGCCTGCTGCTCCTAGCCTCCTCTCTCTGAAGCATTTCTGGGAGCCCTGGGGGAGTAAGGGCACATCTTTATCTTTATCTCCCTGGGTTGGGCATCCTTCATTTGTCAGTGATGGCGTAGACAGGCAAAGCCAGGCTCCCTGTTCTTGGATTATCTCATCACTTTTCATTTATTTATACCTTGGCTCCCCAAAGAGAGCCTAAGCTCCTTGAGGGCAGGTCTAAGTGGCAGCAACTTGGAGTCAGGAAGACCCGATTTCCAGCCTTGCCTCAGATACGTGCTAGCTGTGTGACCCTGGGAAAGTCACTTAACCTCCCATCTCTGCCTCATTCTCTTGAGTCATTGTGAGGAACAGATGACTTGTGTTTTGAAGCAACATTGTAAAGTGCCACAAAGTGCTAGCTAACCATCGAGATTAGGGCTACTGTGAGCACCTTACCCAGTCACTAAACACTCGTTAGTCATTGCTTGGTGGGATCATCCTTGTGTTTTGCATCGTCCCCAGGCTGACTTTAAAATCTCCTCGGAGTGCATTGCACAATGGAAGCAAACCAACTTCATGACCAAGCTGGGCTGCGTCTCTTGTAAAACACTGAAGGGAGGAAGCATCAGCTAACTGCACAGTCGTCCCCCTCCACCCTCCCGCTCCCCATTCTCTGGGCCACCGGGCCGTCCAAGGGTGGCTACAACAGACCGATGCTGAGCAGATGTGGAGCCCCTGGCTGGAGGCTGGGAGAGGCTGCCTCCCATAAACCACAGGTGGAGCCCCCCTTCCCACTGTCTTTGCTGGGACTCGGGAGGAGGTGACAACTCTGGCTTCCTCTGTGCCAGCTGACTTAGGAACTCTTTTCCCAAAAAATCCAGTTTCAGTGTAATTGGGGGGGTGGGGGAGGTATGCTGTAATTGTTCAAATTGGAAAATGATCTGTTCCTCAGCTTTCCAGTGTGGATCCGGCAGCTGTGCTCCAGGGGCTGTGCCTCTGGCTGGAGCTCAGTGCCAGGGACAGGCTAATTACAGCCTCTCAGGAAGTTGTGGGGTTTGGGAAGGCAAATATTTAAAATAGGAAAGGAATAATTGTTCGATGTTAGGGCTCCCCAAAAGAGGGAAGCAAATAACCTGATTTTGGCCTGTCATCTGCCTGGCCCCTTTGCTACCTTCCTACCAAGACTCCCTGAGTGATGCCAGGGAAACTCTTCATCCTGTCCAGCTCTCCTCCCCACACCCTAAACCAGGTGTATGTACTAGCATCACACCATGGCGAGATGGGGGGAAGTAACTTCATAATCTGAATCATCATCATGAATCAAAATAAAGCAACTGACTGAAAGTACCCGAGTGTGGTGTTTTGGGGGGATGGACGCAATAGAGTTGCAGCAGGGAGCCACCATCTGGCTACCCCAGGGCTGCATCCCTTCCCTAGCATGGCCTGGCCCCAGCCCCAGTGACACGAACATGCCCTTCACCCTGCCCGGGCAGGTGTCTCTGAGCCATGGGAGAGGAACCCTGCCATGCTAATCACTTCCAACTCCAGCAGGGACTAAGGGGGAAGGTGGGGGAGGGGGGTACACAGTTTGTTGACAGAGTTTGTTTGTTTCCAGCCACTGGGGTTGGAAAGTGTGAGGTGAGCAGCACACTGGCCTCAGAGGGGGATGGCGTGGAGGCCAGCTTCTGCTGAGATTGGAGTCTGACAACTCTACCCCGACTTCTGAAGGGGGCAGCAGCAGCTAGGGCTCCCCAGCTGCATCTAAGTCACCTAGCCCCCATCAAGGAAGAAGAAGAAGCGACAACAATTCAGCTTTAATCATATAATTAACATATTTTAACCAAAACATACAGAGTTTTTCATTGTATCTCACTTAGACTTTTCAAGGTTGAGGGCTGAGGTCTTCTGGGGTAGTGGGGTGGGGTTTTTTTTTTTTTTTTGGCTTTTTCAACAGTTAAAGTGAGGTCAATGTTTAAAGAAATATATATATTTCTCTATATCTAACATTTCTATAGAACAATAAAAATCAGAGGCTTTTGGTCTCGGTTAGTGCTAGGTCCAGCTTGTTCCCCAAGGGGATAAGGCAGGGACTTGACCCTTCCCTTCCTTTCCCCCCCTTCTTGGTCCCCACTGCCATGCTCTCTGTCCAACCAGGACAGGCTGGGTGAGAGCTGAGCCTTCTCAGAAGCACCCTCCCAGGAAGGGCCAGGACTCCAGTAACTCAGCACAGAGGGTCAGGCAGCCGTGAGTTTCAAACAGGCAAGAGAAGCTCTCCCTAACCTCAGTGGTTCGGACACTGCCCCTCAAGCTTACTCTCACATCCGAGTCTATCAAGGACGTGGGCACAGTTCGGCACAGTATGTCCAGTGGTTATTGATTTCTCTCCTTACTCTCTATGTGACGACCAGTAGTCAAGATTGGGTGTCAGATGACCCACAGAAGAGAAGGGCATTGGTATAGAGTCAAGCTCCCCCAGTAGTCCCTTAAGAGGCTTGGACCCAGCCTAGCCAAGTTCAGCAAACACCACCCAGGACCAAATGATAACAGCCCTGGGGGGGGGGGGGAGAGAAGGAAAGAGCTGGCCAACAGCCACCTAGTGTTTGGTGGCAGTAGCAAGGCCTCTGTGAAGCAGTCACAGGGACCATCCCTCCATTAGAGAAAAGCCCTTCCCACTCCTTGTCCAAAGTGCACTCACCTCTACCTCACCACATCCCCAGCCACTTCTGAAATGGTTTCAAATCTATCTAAATCGCAGGTTACTCTGAAAGATTTACTAACCTGAGAACAGGTTCAAGAGGGTTTTGATCAAACCTGTGGTTAGTGAGATCTGGACCAGGTTGTTCAAGAGAAATCCAAGGTTGTTGAAGGGCATCCCTAACTTTTGGAGGCTGCAATCATAGATCATTCCCATATTCTCCCACAATTCTGGCTGCCAAAAAAAAACCATGAATGCCAGGCCAGTGGGACCAAGGGAAAGCCCAGGGAGGTATTCATATTTTCAGAATAGTCCAAGGATGCCTCTGGCATGTGTGACTGACCTCCCAATCAGCCTTTGCCATTACCTAAGTGAGCATAAATGGTGCAAAGGTGTATCCAAAGGGTGAAGTCCCACAGAATGGGGAGGAAGAGGAAGAGGAAAAGAAAAGAGTACATGTAAGGACTAGGTACCAGTGGCAAAAGGCATCCCTCCTCCTCTCTACCCCATCCAGCCTACAGCCTCCACAACCTCTGGATAGTGAGTGGGTGAACCTGAAAGAGGTGAAGACAAAATAAACCAGTACCTATGTCTGGGCTGAAAGGAGAGAAAAGCCCATCAGCTCAGAGTGGCGAGGAATCTTGGCCTCAAGGAAGTGAGAAGAGCAGCGTCTGGAAAACCAGGAGCTACTAACGAGCACAACTTTCGTCCTATTCATTCTCAGCAGGTCGATTTCTGATGCTCTGAGAAGGGAGTGGGGACAAGTCCCTTGGTCCTGGCCTAGGGTCCCACTGGCGCCATCCCCCACTATTGATGGAAGCACCTTCTGGGAGCAGCCAAGTTGGGAAATGATAGGGAGGCGTGTGAAAAGGATGGGCACAGGAGTTCATCCCTCTCCTCCCTGTTTGTGCTTTGTCCTTGCCCCCAAAGGCCAGGGACTACTACTCTGCCCACCTGTCCCCCTTCTGAAACCTCAAGACCCAAAGGAATAGGGCACACCAGACCCCCATGCCAGTGTGAAAAGGCTAGCCAAAGACCCAGAGAGTGAGAACTGCTGCCATGTAAACAGGAGCGTTGTGGAAAGGAGGCAGGCCCCACTCCACAATGGGCAGATCCACTGGTGAGGTGGTGACTGGCAGGATGGAAGGCCGGCCACCTGCCCCGGAAGATGGACGGGCAGCTGTCTTTGAAAAGTGCTGTGATTTGAAACTATTATTATGTGCTTGATTACAGGACTAATTATCCCAGAAATTGGATGGGGTGGGAGGGTAGGGTACAGGAGAAAGAGAAAATTTTTTCAACAGAAAAGAACAAAAACAAAAATCCCAGGGAGCTCTGGACCAGGCTCTAGCCTCTTTAGGGCCAGGGCTTTGGGACCAGCAAACATCACTCCCTCTTCCCATCATCTGTCCTTCCTCGGCTAAGCCAGGATAAGGTCGGAGATGGAGACGTGGTGACTCTGAGAGTGTCCATTTTTCTGTAAAAAGGCAAAAGAAAACTGCCTAACTTGGTGGGGAAAGGTGCCCTCACCAGGTTTGCATAAATATCAAAGGCCGTGGAGGCTAAGGCTGAATTCTTCCTTTGTATTAAGTTAAGTGTCTCTCCAGTTCTCCCCATGTTCTCATGCTTCGACCTGCCCAGGTCCCTGAGAGATTGTGTTCTTAGGATGGGTCAGTAGTACCAGAGCGCTGTTCCCTCAGATCAGACCAGCTCATTCTGTTTTTCTGTGAAAAGGAGAGGGAGGGACCTGTTAGAGGAGAGGAGGTCCAAGGATTTGAACAGCCCAGCTATATGCGCAAGACAATGAGGATGGTCAAAAAAGGCCCTGGCCTATATTTATGGAGACCCCCCTGCTGTCCCATCCCCATTGCCCATTGCTAACACTCAGTGCCCCCCTCAGGTGGAAGGGGCTGGCTACTCTGAGAGGTAGAGAGGTCCCACCCCTGAAAGTCTCCAAGTGGAGGAAGGGAGGAAACAGGAATTTATTAAGTATCTACTGTGTGCCAGGAACTGTGCTTAAGCACTTTACAACTATTACGTCCTCTGATCCTCACAACCTGGGAAGTAGATGCTGCTGTTATCCTCATTTTACAGATGATAAAACTGAGGCAGATGTAAGTTAAGGACTTACCCCAGATCACAGTGCTAGTAATTGGAACTCGGGTCTTTCTGACTCCAGGCCTAGCACTCTATCTGCATGACCCACCCAGCTGCCAGTGGTGCCACCAGGGCCTCGGCAGAGACGGCACCGTCAGAGATGCTGTAGAGGAACGTTCGGCTCAGGCCGAGCTGCATCAATCTTTATCCTTCCCCTCCCCAAGCCACCGTGTATCTCTGCTGCACATCAGCTCCATCCCACTCTGAGACCATGAGGAGCTGGGAGTAAAATTCAGACCCTCCCAGGGTTCACTGGTGTGTAAGCCAGTTCTCTCATGGCTCCCTGGCTCTGCTGAAAACATCAAGGGAAGTCTCGAGTCTGACCGAATGCAAAGAGCACTGGATTCCCCAAGGCCCGAGTTCAACAAGTGCTGGATGACTGGGGGTGAACAGCCAACAGGAGAGGCTCAAGGTCCCCATCTGGAAATCAGCGGTGATACCCCTGCATTACGGGCCTCGCTGGACGGCTGGGAGGAAGGCGCTGCTAAACCTCAAAGAGCTTACAGAATGAAAGAGGCGCTGTGGTTACTAGGGCGTAAACGTGTACTGGGTCAGCAGGGAGGCAGCTCTTGGCGCAGCCCCCAGGCCCACCCCCCAGCCCAGTACCTGAGGCAGCAGGACTCAGAGACTGCGGTTCCAGGCCCGCCAGCTGCACGGTGCCTCCGTTCTCCGCCAGCTCTCGCTTAGTCCTGTCCTCGAGGCGGGAATGCCCATTGGCGGGGGAGGCCGAGGGGCTCTTGGCCTGCTTGATGCTGGGAGAACCAGATGGAGGGACCCCCACGGAAGGCTTCCGGGCCACAGGTGGGGCAGACTTGCTGGGCTTCCTCTGGGCCTGCGGCCCCCGCTGCCCAGAGAAGGTCCGAAGTTCTGCCACCAGGTTCCGCTGCAGGTCAGCCTGAGCCTCAGGAGAGACAGGCCGCTCCAGCTGCAGCTTCTTGGCACCCTTGGAGAAGATGAAGCTGGCGGTGGAGGCAGGGGACTGTGGCCGCGGTGACTCGGCCTCTGGCTCAGGCGGGCCGTTGGGTCGAGGACCAGGGGGGCCTTCGGCGGGGGCTAGGCTGGAGACCTTGAGGCGCATGGCAGCGTGAAGCCCAGTGGAGGGCCCGGGTGGCTGGCCACCCCGCACGGAGAGTGCCTTCCGCAGTGGTTTCTGTGGGGCGGGGGCAGGAGAAGCTGGGGCCTGGGAGGCTGGCAGAGTTGGGGAAGCAACAGAGCGTAGCCGCACCGTCTGCAACAAGGAGGCCGTGACGATAGGGAGGCCGGCATCCTCCTTGGGCACAGGGATGCTCTTGCTGCGCCCCAAAGGCTCCCTGGCTGGCTCTGGTGGTTTCCCAGAACTAGGCTGAAGGCCTGGAGCTGGCAGGGGTGGGGGGGTTGGCGGGGACCCAGCTGCAGGCGGGGACTCAGACAGGGGCTGGCTTCGTGAGGAGACCGTGGCCAAGAAGGAGCGGGAGGTCTGTGCCTCAGGCTTGGCCGCAGACTGAGGAGGAGATTC